AAATGAAATATCTAGAATGTTACCGCCATTGTTGTTGATATAGTTATTTAACTAATGTATTTCTTTTCACAAATATTGCAATCAATTTTTTGATATTTTTAAAATTTTCCAACTAATTTTCAACTTTTCTTCACCCATTCCAGGCGATTACTAGTGAACGCATTCGAAATGAATACAAAGTCTATTACTATTGCTAGTACCAATGTTGCAGTAATACGCACATTCAAATAAACAATAAATTTTAATCACAATCAAAACAATATGGAATTCATATTACATTTTCAGATATCATATCAATTCGTTTATTCGTTCAATTTCATTGGATTATTCGATTTTGATGACAGTGTATAAAATACAATCAGTTTAATTGCTATTTTCCAAAGACTCTTTGTGATATGCACCTATTTTCTGCACATATTCAAATTCATTGACTTGCTAAAACTGAATTTTTGATTTGTCGGATCATTCACATGATCAGTATTTGTGCGATGTGTGTGCGTGTGATGAATGTTTATTCTTTGATGAAATTTTGGAAAGTTTCGAACTGATACTACTTCCACTACCGCTATTCATACGTTGGAAGTGTGGCTCGGATGAAGGAATGCCTGAAAATTTGTGAATTTTCACTAGAAAAAACAATGGAAATTAATGGATTCGATAACAACTGATAACAGCGAAAAGCATACCAATAGCAACAATAATAACAAACACAGCAGCAGAAATAACTTGACAATCTAAACAAATAATGCTAAACCAAACAATTAAAGCTTACCATATTTCTGTCTGATCGCATCAATCTGAGCCTTTCGTTCCATCCTACGTTGCTCTTGTCGATTCTCCATGGCGAGCCTCTTGGCCATTTCCCTTTCACGTTGTCGTTTGAAATTGTATTCAGTCCATCTTCTTTTACACTTCTTGCAGTAATGACAGCAATAGCAACAACAACAGCAAGCTATTATCAACACCATAACACCGACTATTGATAGCGATATCCCCAACGCTTTCCAGTTCACTGAAGTTCCATTCATTTCGTTTTCAATTGAACTGTCCTTTGAAAAGTTGCAATTCGACTGATGGTTGCCTTTCACGTCAGTTTCGAGCTCGAAAAATGTGCAAGAGCACAACTCTGTGAATGTGAGGTCCGCATTTGTCTCGAAATTGGCCAAACTATCGAAACAATCACTATACGAATAGCACCATACATTTGATGGAACTGATCATTCCCATTCGGGCCATCATCATTTAATGTTTGTTTTTCAGTGATCAAACAATCGAAACTTACACCAGCAGTTCTTATATCTGACAGCGTCCAGTGTACAATTCGGATATTTCCATTTGTATTCATTGCACTGTTTCGTTGTTTCACACCAAAAACAATGCTGTAACACGAC